CAATTCAGAGGTTGTGACCTAGACAGTTTAATTAGGCTGGGGCATCTGCACCTCTTCCTCTACCTTTTGATTCCAGGAACACCAGGAGCATGGACTCTGCTATTTGTGAGTAAGTTTTGCTTCCAGTCTTCAAAATACCAGGTTTAACAGCAAACAACAAAAGAAAGCATTAAAAACACTAGCATAAAAACATTAAATATTTGGATTAGATAATTAAGGAAAGAAACCAATATCTGATGCAGCTCTTCACATTGTGCAGGTAAGAAAGGGTAATATTTAAAAAAAGGGGCAGCTCATGATTGTGGTACTTTCTAGTCATAATTGCTCTCTGCAACTAGAAGCTATAGAAATCTGTCAAGGTTGGTCTTCGAAATAACTTGCACTTTGTAGCCAATACATGTTAATAGACATCTTTGATCCTGTGACCTTGCAGATGTCTGCAAATACAGCGGTTGATGTAATTTTCTTCTTAAGGCAGGTTCTTTTTCTCAGAGCATACGATGCTCTACTACTAACTTTAGGGATACTGATACTACCTGTAAGGATGGATCGCAAACATTTCAACTGAGGGCTAGGTGCTACTTGATGCTGACAGCCCAGGGTGTTATCAGAGGCAACGCTCTTGTCTTCCCATGTGCGGTATAGAGCGCACACTTCTACAGGGGAAGCAAATCCTAGCAATCTCTTCCCTCAGTAAAGCTATCCCTGACACTTTGTCGTCTCCCCAATTAAGAATCTTACAAAACTTTTCATCTAATATTCAGTGTAGTTTGTAACATGCTGAAATACCCATAAATCTCTACTATATCTGTTGCATAGTCATGAAGCAAGGGTTGGACATAACAATTTGTGGTTTGTGTTCCTTCCTTCCCCATTTATCCTTGCAAAAAGTATACTTTCAAGGGGACAAACACTTAAAAAGATGGGAAAATGTTTGTTTATGAACACTTTATACTTTATCCCTAGCCAGAACTGCAGAGCAAGAGAATACTTGAGGGTATCATACTTCCCAATTCTGTAAAGGTATCAGCTCTATTGCTATTTTTCCAAATTATATCCTGCATTAAAAGTAGATGAATTACCAGGATTTTTGTTTTAAAATCAGAAATAGAAGGCTGGATGATTTTTCAGTAAAAAACTGTATTTTAATCAAATTGAAGGTGTCTCAGTGAACTAAATTTACTTCTAGTGCAAATCCACTCTGTGGAACTACAAATCTAAATTGGCACAACTCAGAAAGCAAAATTTCCCTCCATGTAAGCTGCACCCCAGTTTTGATGCACTTATGTTACTTATACAAAAACTTAATTGCTACTAGACAAACCTGAAAGAAAACTGTAGCTCAAACTAATTTGACAGAACACTAAAGCATTATTGAAAAGTGACTTTCACAGAGACTTTTGAAAGCTTGCAGCATGAAACTTTGAATGGATATACAAAGAAAATGATGGAATATGGGATTTCTATAGAACAGAAATTTATTAATGCAAAGCACTCAGTATCTTCTATACTTAAAAATACTAGGAAGCCAATTTTACTTTTTTATATTAAAAAAAAAAAGTCCTCCAGAATTTCATCTGTACTGCAAAAACTGTTGACTGGTCATCCAAAGCACTGATTGAGCATATTAGCAGTTTCACTGTCTTGAAAGAGCTCCATCTGTTCTACTAGACAACCACGGTGATATACAGTCCCAGTCTTCTAGTTGCAGCTCTAGCCTCAGAATATTACCTGCAATTTCTCTCAAACAATCTAATAAATTCTTTGTCATGTACATGCAATCCAGGTTTAGCTTCACTGCCATAGCATTAAAAACAAAAGATTTTAAGAATAAGACATGAAGTACTCTGAGGGAAGCTGTGTTGGATTTCAGTTGCACCTTAGTATCTAAAGTCTGAGTCTCCCATATGTGCCTTTCTCTTTTTCATGCTGAAAAGTTGTGCAGTTTTCTCTAATGGGAAAACTGGATGTGGAAATGAAGTAAGTGATGAAACACCAAAAAGCTAAATGAAGGTAATGATGTAATTTGGGTAAAATCTCTGCTGGCTTCTGTTCTGGCAGAATCAATAGAGTATAAAGGAAATCTGAAAACGAACTTACGGGTAAAAATCAGTTCCTTGGACTGCAAGACAGTCTCATAACACAGAAGTAATATCACGTCTTTCAGGATTTCACTCAACTCACCAAAAGAATGAAGATTCAATGGTAGCCTATGATATGGAAGAATCATGTTCAGTTCCCTTTACTACTGAACAGAAATCCTGGATTTAAAAAAAGATCTCATTTAAAGGAGTGTTGAAAAGCACTATAACATTTTGCGACAATGATAGCAGAGGTGTTCAGTTGCATATCTCAAATATATGGCTCTGAAAAGAAGATAAGGTATTTGAGACATTGTATTTTGACTAGGCTTCCTTATGCTTCAAAATTAATTCCAGTCTGCAGTTTCAGAAATATTTGATCAGTTTTCACCAAAAGAGCCCTCAGACTTTTTTTCATGGAATCTCTTTCCTGGGCTCTTCCTACCTTCACAAAACAAGAGCAGTACATATCTAGACATGTTTGCTAGAGACATGGGGCAAGCATCTGTTGGTCCATGAGGGCTTTTAGCATGGTGTGAACTGCACTGCGCAGCACCACTGAGGACACATAAGAGATTTCAATCAGTCATTAAAACAAGTCAAACTTCAATCAGTTCTGAAGAAAGAATAAGCCATTGTGCTTGTCAAAAGCAGGTGGCAACCATCAAGACCGCATTTAATTCTAAAGCCTTTATCTTCAAATAGGCTTCAGTTTTGCAGTCTACATAATCCACAATATCCATAATACTGAATTATTTGTAAGAGGCAAAAAAACCCCAACACCCACGCACACCCTATTACAGAATGGAGTATCCTTCTTGTTCCTTATTGTCTGTTGCAGAAAATTAATCTAGGACAAAGTAACGAAGCAAACACATAATGAGGATTCAATACTTGGAAGGGATAGAAGTTGCAGAAGCTACAGAACATTAGTACTACCAGGTCAGGACAACTCAGCTGTTAGCAAGGCTTGGTAAAGACTCATATTTTACATGACAATTTGTACAAAGATTCAGACCTTTCCCTCCTTAATCTTGCAGTGACAGAAGTCTCACTGTCAGAATTCATGGGTACACTGGCATCTCTGATAGTTGCTTGCTGCATGCTAATTCTCTTTTCAGCTGAAGATACTAAGAAAAGAAAGTGAAGGTGTTCAGATCATGTGGTCAAATATGACATCATATAACATACCTAAGATGATAAAGATCTTGGTAAAGCAGAAAGCTCCTCTTCAATTTTTAACCATGCTGTATCCCATTATTCACTGAGGGCTTGAAAACTTACACAAATCTTACAGAGCAAAGGCTCCAAAAAAGCAGAAATGTTGGCTGTCAGCTGGTGAGCAGGAACTCCATGCTGGGTGGAGTGAGCTGCACAGTTCAGAATACACAAAATGCTTTAGAAAAGCCAAAGAACAGCAAGAACTGTCGTTGTATATATTTGCAGCACATCTCAACTGTCATGGTCATCCAAATAATCCATTGAGTGGGAACATGCCCCCATACGC